ATGTACATCTAGCCTGTACCTGCATTGACATACGGATGTATCGACACAAGGCCATCGCTTTCACCCAATGGCATGCTTGATGTATTACACAACTCTGGCTAGTTGATAACATTTATGTAAGCGATGTCGTCAGTTGGTCTGCTAACTTCCGATTTAAGTAGGAATTCCTATCGTAAACCGCCAATATTCTAGCTGGACCGCTATTTAGTTAAGCCATTGGTAATGCCTGTTGTTCGTTCTTGTGATATTTAATTCATTAGAGATACTTTTAAGTATTTTAAACAAATATATAGTGGGTACACGTTTAGTGAATGATAACAAATGTCTATAATTAGATCATTGTTATTCTGAATATATATATTTTTTAATTTTCTCTATTTATTTAGTACCTGTTAATTACGTATGATATTTTTATGAATTACTACTGAAAAATTGTAGATAAAATTTAAGCTTACTCAATATAAATAAAAGACAATATTTTGTTATTATGCTACTAATGACTATATATTGTTAGCATAAATAATATAACCTATAACGTTTTTATTAAGTAAAAGCCAGACTAGGTAACAAACACATGTGACAGAAATTAAGGTAAGTAAATCATTACACTTTAATTTATCGAATACCTCTCGCGTAAACACTTAAATTTTTATTTAAATTTTAACTTTTTTAACGTTTAAAAACTTTATTTTTTTACATGTTATTTCACATGAAGGCACTATATAATTTAAATTTATGATTTTTAAAATTACTTTTTTAAAATTTATGGATTAAATTAATTGATAGCACGAGTATCAGAAACTTTCATTTAATTGAAAATTTGCATAATATTCGCTCGTCATTTGAAGATGAACAATTAAAATGTCAAACCCATCACGATTAATGTGAACTTTCAAATGTTTTGTTATTTTAATTTCAATATTTATTGTAATGCTGATTGATGATCACTTTCTTTTTAACCGACTTACACTGAAGGGTTATGGTGCTCTGTCATCTATGGTAATTGGATATCAATGAAAGTTCAACAGTAAAACTCGGTATAAATTACTATTGTATAACTGACAATATATTCAATGTTGTTTGAAATCAGCTTATAATGTTTAACCATTAAATTAAAAAAAAACTTATTACATTTATACACCGTACCGTATTAATAAAATTAAATTGTATTATTATTATATATATACATCATCAGAGGTGTTACTATATTTATTAGTATAAGTCTTTATACAAACATTTTTCTTTTTGTCATTATGTTGTTCATTCTTTAGCCCAGAAGCCCGATCAAAATTAGAATATATAAATAATTAATAATGTATGCTATGAATAAAAAAAATAAACCGAAGTCTTAAACTTAACTGTTATTAAATTTCTTATTTAGACAATAATGTATACAATTCGGCTCTGAACAATGTCTTTAATCTTACTTTATTGAATGAATGAAAGAGCTAATTCGATTTTTATAAATATTTAATAAGTTACGTATGCTGTTGAATATTAAATGATGTTATGTAGTGATAGTGGACGTGAAATTGCAGGGTATAAAGGTTCTCACACACAGGTCACTGAGAACAGCCACAGTACGAAAAGACTGACATATATCTTCTTGTTTTTATGAAATTGTAGCAAGTGGTAATCGTCTTCTGATGCCCGAGATGTACCGATACTTCGACTATGACGTAATTTTTGGTTCAATGGGTAGCAATCTATGGATACCGCAGTCAACGGATTGTAAAGCCTACCTCCATTTTATCATCATGGTGAGTCGGAGAAATTTAAGTTATGATAAATTATATGAATACTATGAAAATATGTATATTAAATATTGCCTCGCAGCTGTTTTGTGGCTTGTATGCGCGTACCCTTAAGGGGCAGGTTTGTCCACACGCCACAACGAGGTCGACGCGAGGCCTCGGCGGATGCGCAGATCGATTTCCGTTGTAGGCATAACTAAGATAAATCTCCTACGATATTAAGTTTTGCTATACTAGCAACACGTACAGTTCATGTCTCTAAAAACGATGCTTAAACTTTATTTGTTTTTAGTAAGTATGAAAAGCTATAGATGTGCTACTTTGAAAAAGATTTTGACATTGGGCAATCTCCCAGTCTATCTCAAAAATATACAATATTATTCTAATAACCAACAATCGCCGTTTTATTGAGTTTGGTTTCATAATGGTTTCTTTCATAGAATTTGACGATAAATAATCAGTAAAACAGACACAGAAATGTTTCTCTCACGGTCCTCACAGAGGAAACGGTACCAACATTTTCACAGCTTACTTCTGAGCTCTTTTAAAAGTCAAAAAGAGTAAAATGTTATCACGGTTTGAGAATAGCTACTTTAAAACGTTTCATTTATAAAGAAAATATAAAAGCGATACTTTGAGGAAGCCGAAGGAATTATATCATTAGATCTTTTATGAGAAATGTAATTATTTCTCGAAGCAAAATTAAAGAGAAAATCTATAATGAGACTATCGTTGGTTAGAAAATCTTTCCGGCCGCTACGGATCCACAGTTATTAAAAGGAAAATAGCCAACTTAGATATAAAATATACACTGCATATACAGTGATAGAATTTATATTAAGTATTTTGCCAATAGTCGCTAATATATGATTTTATTGTAAAAAATATTCATAGAACAGTTTTAACACTAGGATGAATGGTGGTTTATAGCACTGATAATAAGCATGTGACGTCATTATAAACCCGACCAATCAGGAACATTTTGTGTCATGTGACACGTATAACAGTGTATTCGTTATATATATAACGTCACAAACTCCGTAAAGCGTCGATTCCGAAGCCAAGTAACAGCCTAGAATAAATTTGACCCCAATTAAACAAAGTCTTCTTTAATCTAAACAATGATTTGTTATATATATGTACAGTATCTCTACATTATTACATAATGTGTTAACAACTTCTTTATTTATTGTCTATAGTATAATTCAATGTGGTTCGTTATTACGAGAGATTATATGAATATTGTAAGATATTACTATAATAAGAACATGTTAAATAAAAAAGCTTTTGAATTAGAATTATTTTTATGTACATAAAATTACGTTTTTTAGATAGATTAGATGTTTGCCTCTAAATCTTTGCAAAAAAGTGCACAGACCTTTTAAAGTCATATATAGTTTACATTGTAGATTTTTTGTGACTTAATAAAGCTAAGGACTATAGTCCATACAGTCGAAAGAAAGTCTTCGAGATCATTATGTAACGTCGTTATGTATAATGTAATGTCGAACATTAATTTTTAATAGAACGTCAGGCTCGTTGATGTCTTTTATATAGAGAGTTTTAAAGACCGTTGCAGCACGGAGATTTTACTTTTGTTTTTGATATAATTGATTAAAGAATACTCAAATCACAATTATTCGCAAAAAATATGCCCAACATCAATTTCAGTTATCACTGATATTATGTGATATTTTTGACATTTATATTTTTGAGTAGTTTGCTGTTAAAACTTGGGTGGTGATGGTTGGGTGAGGGTCGAACCCAACACTCTGTTACTTACTACAGTAGCTCAGTTAGTAAGAGCAATAGTAATCGTAGTTTGTTTAATAATATATCAACAATGATAATGTTTAATATATTTTATTAATCAATAATTCATATCAGGATGTCTATGGTATGTCAGCAGCCAGGACAGAAGTTTGTTCATCGCATCTGGATCTTCACATTCTATTTTGTAACAATGTTTCTGCCGTGCCGCTTGCCTTCTATTAAAAATAAAGTTAATTAAATATTATTTACAAAACTATAATTACAATAAAAAAAATTACAGACTCAATTATCAAACGTGCTACCGGGATTCAAATGCTGGGGAAGAAAAATAATATTTCGGCGGACCAGGACGTAGTTATTCGTCTGCATATAAAATCGATAAGAAAAACGACACAGTAATGTGTCAGCCCGTATTATTCAGTATATATATGTTACATACTTTTAACTAAATAGAAGAAAAGCAATATAAAAACTGATTTGTCGATAAGATATGTTATTATAACTTACCGAATGTAGTGTCTTTCCGAGTGTATTTCACACAGTAGTCTTCGTTTACATCGCTCACTTATTTTCGGTAGATTTAAATCGGATCGACGCAAAAAATGATTGCCAAAACTAAAAAAATAAAATAATGAATGATATCCACAGGTATATACAATATTTGTCTCGTTCTGACGTCATACGTCAATAGCCCTACGTTCCACCTAAAAATCAGTGTAGCGCCTTATATAAAGGCCCTTTTAACGATGTATTCAATTGTAAAATTTTACGGCTATTAAAATAGTCTATGCTGGTAAGAAAACTCTTTTCTTTCTATCTTCTTTCTTGTTATTGGAAAATCATAAGAATTGTTTAAAATATATAGTATGAACTTTAAAACGTTAAAAGCGAGTATGAATAATTCACAATTCAACCTGATTTTTAATTACACACTTTCCCTATATCGCTGGTTTTACAAGGCAATACTTAGAATACTTAGTTTCTTGACATTCAAACATCTTTCCAAACTTTAGAATGAATTGTTATTATTGTAATAGAATCTATGTCGTATTGCAATGATTTTTATTATTTGTTTTAAGCCACGGTATTTTTAGTTTTCATTCTTCTTCAGTTCAATTGTCTTACGTTGGCTCTCGTAAAATCCAGGTGAAAACATTTATGTAAGAACGCGTGCACAGCTTGCGTGCGGATTAAAATTGAATCATATCCGCGTAAGCTCGCGAGATCGTTTGAATTTCATAGATTCATGTAATTTCTGACGACTCTGTAGCTCAATGGTCAAATGAGTTTCCTAGCATTGCGATAACCTCCTAAGAGGGGGGCGATCCTTGGGTTTGAAACCCAATGGGTCAAACCCCCTGGAAAATAATAAATTAAAAAGGTCCTGCCCTACAGCAACTTCTTTTAAATCAGTGAAACAATCACAGAATAGAACTTCGAATAAAAATGTGATTATAAGGAACTTACTGTTGATTATTCAGTCGTTTGTAATGTTACAATGCTGGGAGTCAGTGCTGATACCAGAATGCCGATAGGTATTAGTGCTGTCACCAAATTAAGGAGACCATGCCAAGGATTCTTGCTGAAAATCATATAATTATATTACATTTATATAAAGTATCTATGCTCAAAGGTATTAAATATTCAGAATAATTAAGTTAAGTAAAGTAAATAAATCATTAAGGTTGTTAACAATAATGCTAACAGATATATCCAACTCGCTTTCGTATAAGGTTAAACAATTCATTGCAGTTGTAATTATTAAACAACACCAAAACTAAAAACGGTGCCGTAAAATAACTCTAGTTAAAATCAAGTCATTTACAAGCCATAATAGTAGGCTTTATTGGCCGTTTGAATGGCGTAGAATACCGTTTAATGTATAAAAAACTGCTCAATTACTTCTCATCTCGCAGATATGTGCGCAAGGGCCACTTAAACTTTCATCGCTAAGCTTTGATGTACACTGGTCACCGACCACAGAACATCTTCACATTTTGTACAGAATATCTAAATTCGGAAAGCTACAGAACTAAACAGAAGAAAAATTATACCTTTTTCTTCTACCTGTGTATGGTGGTTCGTACAGAGGGAATTTAAATATTCCTCCCGCCCATTGAGTATCCAAATGTTCCATCCAGATGAAGTCATGTGTCAGCAAAATCATAAACTGATTGGAAGCATGTTGGATTTACTATTAGTAATAACTAAATACTAATAATGGTAGTAACATCAGACCAAATGAAACCGATTCGTGGATGTTTATAACCCAATAGAATTAAATACTGTCTATAGTTTACGCGAGTAGTACACATTTAAATGAAACACTTTAACGGTTTAAAACGCGATATATTAGTTAAACTTATTTGAAAATGATTTTTAACTTCGGTCCGACCTTTCAGATGCTTTCGCGTGGTCACGGGAAGACCTGTTTAGTCCATCTTTAGTCTCCCCGTGACCACGGCTGCTGCAAAGCATCCGAAACGTCGGGCCGAAGTTAAAAAACATTTTCAAATAAGTTTAACTAATATATCGCGTTTTAAACCGTTAAAGTGTTTTATTTAAACCAAAGAATTCCATATTCCAGATTCAGTTTAGATTTTACAGACGTCTGGCCCAGACCCAATGAAAATTGATCACTCTGTTAGTCCTACCGTTGGATTAAGATCTCGAGGATCTCTTCTTTTCACATATCATGTTTTGTTTTTATTTTATATCGCTTTCATTGTTTATTTCTTATTCTAAAGTACTGAGTAATTCTTCTCAATCTAATTGGCGAAACTTGTATTTGGCTTTCTGTTTTTTCGGTGTTTTTAGCTGTAAGTTTTCATTAATGTAAGAAATGTAAGAAAACAACAGTAACTACTCGTATGCTGATGGCATGTGTGCGGTGACCCTAAGATGATTAATTTCCCGGATCAGTGAAAGGATACATTTGCTTATAATATACTCTCTGAATTATTAGCGTGCCTAGTGATGTATGTATTTATAGAAAGAAGAAAGTTAAATTTAGATACTATCACTTGACTATAATTGCTGTTACGACTACCTGCATTGCTTAACCTTGCATAATGCCTAGGGTTTGAATTCCGAGGAAAACGATTTGTTTCAGTTCGGCAAGGCACTGAAATCTGATCCACTGCCTGCAAATTTCAGCAGTGAAACGGACACAAAAATGTGTAAGCCTCAATCATAGACGGGGAAACGTGATTCTTTTTATGTTTATTATACTGTAATTTTACCCTAAAGCTGAGTAATCTTTGGAGACAGTTATACTATTGTATTTGGTCTAAATTTGTACTTAATTTATCGTTTATAAATTTTATTAACTTAATTTTATTTTTAGTGATTGTCTATTGTTTAACTTGAATTAAACTGCAATAACTTGAATTTACTAGAAGGTTCAAATAACGAGAACAAACGAAAAACATAAGGACAATGTACCCTATGTTTAGATACAATAAGAAGTCCTAAGTAAGACGCGTGTTTTTATTTGTGTTTTATTTTATTCTTTATTTTAAGTAACATAGATAGAAATTACTTATAAAAATGAGTGTCGCCTAAATTCGATAATTAAACATAGTATTGTACGATATAATTATACTTAACCGTTCATAAGAAATTTAAAAAAGGAATACTAATATACCTCTTTCTAAATGTCAAATACCCCCATTTGTATATAGTAAGAATACGGAGCTTAATAATTTTACGCAATGGATCGATAGGGGTCGCTGTTCGAATTCCGAGAAACATGAAAAAAGTAGGGTCACGATCGTTCGTATTATATACTGGTTTTTCCAATGACATGAATCAGAGGAACAGACTCAAAAATGTGTCCGCGGCGTGCCAATGTACTAATGCAACGAGATTTAACTAGATAGATGAAGATATGTACTTTCTAATACTATATACTGTTATATTTAAGAAACATTATTACTTCAATAAGACTGTTATCGAATATCGATAAATCAGTACACCACTAGACCAATCTCCTTTGATAACTAGCTCATCAGTAAGCTTTCATTCACATCCGTAACTGATTTTTTACCGCCTCATTACATTATTTATAAGTGTATGAATGTCGACCTTTCGCTAATTCAATAACTACTGTTTGGTTTTTGTGCGCGTATAGAAGAAAGAAAGTTTTAGATACAATTAATTCCTTTCAGTGCATTTATTTTTACTAATCATCAATTAGCTTTTAAAGATTAAGAAAGTGCTATCTTTTTAAACATGAAAATCACTTTTCCCCGGTTTGCCCACTTTTGCCCATTCATTTAAAGGTCCTGTATTCGAATCCCAGGAAAACAGGGTCTAATAGGGTAAATTACTATTATCATAAAAGCCTGTAAATAAAATTAACCTGTTAAATAGACACGGAAATGTGTCTGTCCGTAGGTAACGTACGATAACGGGATTTTTAAATTTAGTGTTAAGATTGTTTGATTGTTTTTTCATTATTTTAATTACTTTTAAAATATTTTAGGAACAGATAAATAACCATATCTGAATAATTACCGTTTCTTCACTTCTTTATCCTTGTCACCACTGAAGTCTAAACCAAAGTCATCACCACCATCTCCAGGTTTTTCTTTAAACGGATCCTGATATTTATATAAACTCCCAGCTGGTATCTTTACTGGTACCTCTACGGTGGGTTTTGAGTCATATCCCTCTGGTGGAGCTTTAGCTTTAGAGAAGCTATTTTCGAATTTATAGGGTTGCGCCTTAGAAAAATCTTTAGTCGTTTTATACTGTAATTTGACGAATTCATTGGAACTGAAACAATTCTTAATTTCACCTTTTTAAACACTTCTAAAGAATGGTTAATAGTTAAATAGCAGTGATGTACTGGTAGGATTAATTTTTGTACATTAGTTACGTCTCTTAATTAAGCCTCCGTGGGTGAACGGTGTAGCTCTTTACGCTTTTATTCTACGTTCGAATCTCGGGGATATATATTAATTCCATCAGGGGAAGAAGTGATACTAAATAACTGAGAATATCGACCTAAAAAACAGGTGTCTGCACCATGATATATAAAAGATTTCACACATAACAGTGCGAGCTTGCTCCTAATTTGTAATACCAGAAATATTATGTAAAATTAATGCCTTATTTGAAAATGATAAATGTATATCGTGACTACATCTAAAAATATTTTCCATGGCTTGTTATCTTTAATAGTTTTATATACAAAATGCAAGGAAATCATGTATATTTACACAATATTTGTCACTTAACGGTATTCTTTCTTTCATAAGGACTAAACTGATAATCAGTTATGAAATTTGATTCTGCTGCCTTAAGCACAGCGCTTCAATTGAATTACTTCTTTCTCTTATCTATAGATTTATTAATAAATGCAAATACTTTCCTCATTATCTTACGTATGTTTTACTTACCCAATAAAAGATGATGTTGTTTTAATAGGTACAAAAGAATCGCGACTGCTCACAGTCGATGCGATAAAAGCGTCCTCGTCATAAAAATGTCCCAACTGTTGACTTGGCTTAAATTCCTTACTTGCATCCGGTTTTTCTTTAAAACTTGTCCATACTTTATTGCTTCCTTGTGTTGGTGGAGATAACACCGCATCGACTTTCCATGTCGCAGTTTCGCTTTTACTGTTTACTTTTGAACCTTCACTTTTATTTGAAGGTTTTTCGATATCCGTTATCGCGTTTTTGACACTATTTATTTCTGTAGATTTATCATTTGTTATTGGTGCGTTTGTTATATTAGTAACTTCTTCACTATCTTTGTAATCAATTGTTTTATTTATTGGATAAAGTGTTGTTGTGTTCGCGTTTTCTTCAGAGCTTTGAACTATGTGAACGGCGACACATAAATAGACGGCAGTCAAAATTATCTGCAAGGAACCATAGTAATGACAAATTTATATATATTAATAAAATCAAAAAGGGACGGACATACTAGAACGCTTTGCCAACTCATCGCCATTTTTAAACCTCTCGTTTTAAATTAAAAGTATGATCTTATTTAAATGTTTCTTTAGAAATACGCAATCTTAATTTAAGTCAAAAACATAATCTTTTATAATATAGCTGCATTATTATGTTTAATGTTTGAATTATCATAATTTACGTCATAATTGGAGACACGCCATCCTCCGTGCCGAAGCACCACTGGGTCCAAAGACCCGACAACAAAAGGCGCTGAGCGCCCGAGCGATGAATCGCTATCTTTCTGGCCGTTTAGGGTACGCCCGTGGAAACCCATCTTTGGTCCCAGATTTGGTCCGCCCCGGCAGCTTAATTGCCGATAGTCGTCGTTATCTAACGACCATTTCCCTATCCGCCACCTGGGGACGCGCCCGGTGGAAGTCTGGCAACTCCCCCCCGCAGGGTACTCCGACCCCACAGGGTGCCGGGAAATATGTACTACTTGCGTAAACTACAGACAACATTTTCTTTTGTTTGAGTCATGATTCATTTAATAAATTTACTTTTGACATACTCTTACGATTGTTTTTTTTTATTAAATTTTCTGCAAGTGTTACCATGTTTACATAATCTCAGCTCCCATTGACCCATAAACGTTCGCAAAAAACGGCAAGACGTAACCGCCGCGGCGGTCGGCGTTACATCACAAGCACGCTTCTCACTTTCACCCAAACGACCAAACAGTATGTCACTGACCGCTGCTACGAGAAACTGCGCCGGCGCAAGCCTCATGTTGCTAGGCTCTAAAACCTTTTATATTAACATAGAAGGGTTTATAAGACGTCTATACGTGAAATATGTTAATCTAGATTAGAGTTTTGAATTTTAAAAGTTATACCTAAAACAATATTATTTGTTTTTATAAAAGTAACTTAATTGTGGTCAATACTACTGTCTTCTACGGTTTGTCCTTCTTTGTATTTAGATCAGTTTAATGAGGTCACTTTATATTGTATTCAGATTAATGATCGTGAATACTTACAATAATTGGGGTATTTTGACTCTCTTTATTTAAATGTTATTGAGTCCAAAATTGGCATTCATATAGTATATACAATTTTTATTAGTCAACGCAGTCAAAATATTTCCAATCTATATCTCTGTAGTAAAATTAATTGGATTCAAGGCATATATAGAAAAGCAAATCTATTTCGTTAAGGTTCAGATCTTCGAATAAATGAAGACTGCCATTAAGTAACCCTTGACCCTTCCAACATTTCTCCAACTTTCTCAGCTAGAATATTATTCCCTGTAGGTATCCACTTTACTTTCTGTTGATTGCAGAATAATTTGCTACAATAACAATGGAAATCTATTTGAATTATATTATATTTGTCTAAGAGGAGGACAGGTGAACATGGGGGACTGACAACACCAAAACAATAGGAATAAAGAGGTCGACATATTTTGACTTTGGATATTCGGAAATCCACAAACCGAAACCGAAACGCGATTAAATTAGACGGATTTTTCATCTATGGACAGTGCTTCGTGACCCGAACGTAATTTAGTTACGTAATAATATTCCACTGATTTAATATCCAGATTTCCAGATGAAGTCCAACATGTTTCAGAAAAATTGATTAGTAAAATGTTGGACCCGGCGGGGATCGATCTAAGGACCCGTTGATTTCAGCCACACATTCAACCGACGATCCTGTCAATAGATTGATTACTTTGATAAACAATAGGATATACAACAGTACTAACATTTTAAATTCTACAAGAAAGAGACATGGCATGTCGAGACATCATACACAATAAATTGTAAAAAAACAAATGCACAATGTTTATAATTATCTCAGTCAAGGATAATTTACTCATAAACGACAAAAATGAAAGTTACAAAAGTGGCACTTGGCAGCGCATTCTAATGATAGTCTTTGTGGTTGCCAAAATATGTGTAATTACCTATAGAGGCAGCTGTGAATTCAAATTATATCCACAAGTAGACTATTGCACGTAGTATTGCGTTTAACTGCTCCTAAATAAATACCATACTTGTCCAATATAGGATGATGTGTTTGCCGATTGACAATAGCAACGATTTAAATAAAACACTTTAAGCCGTAGTTAAAATAATTTTCAAACAAGTTTAACTTTATTTAAATGACATCAAACGAATACCGTTAATGCAATGATGAATAAATGTAATTATTTCCTTTTCTTTTTTAATTCCTTACATAATTTTAAACACATCGGCAAGGAGACGGTAATCGCTACACAATGTAAGTTGTAGAAAACGCAACACTTATCATCCTATATGAAACAAAGTGTAGAAAGGTTTTTTTGGCGGGCCGAACCACCGTGTGGATTAACAATATAGATACAATAGAATACTGTAATTAGCCATAGATAAGGTAAGGAATTTCTCGGACAGGTGCAGTGAAAGCGAGCTGTGGGAACGAGCTTGGCCATTTGTCGCTGTCTCACCGTCTTATGTAACCGATGGCATTATTCTGTAATCCAAACCTTTTGTACGGACGATAGACGTGTGATTAACTACCGCCGAAGCGAATTGAAATATCACTACAACTCAGTTCATAATATCTGGTTATTACTTCTTTAATTTTTCAACAACATTTAATATATTACAATTTACATGCACTTAAAGTATGTTCACATAATTTAAATAGTGATACTTAAAAAGCAAGTTTCGAACCGTTAATTAATTTATGAGACTAATATACCGGAACTATGTCTTTTGTAATTAATGATCTCAACAAAAGTAAGATGTGTTTGATAAATGTTCGAGTCACGTTTTGGTGTTGTAACGAGATCTCTAGTTGGAGTTCAATACAATTGGAATGCAAAAATCTTTTACAATCAAAATTAAACAGTTTATTTTAAAGATAAGTAGCGGACGCATCTACTTGTTTGATGAGATTGTTATTATCATTTTGTTGTTTTGTTTTGCAAGTACAGGAGATTACGTATGAGTATAAAATTGCAGAGTTTTTAACGATCAAATAAATAATTTTCAGCGAAGAATATTGAACGATTTCTTACAGATTTCAACTTTTACTAACAAAGGATACTCACCATGTTCGGAGTAGCCTGTATGCTGTTTACGCACAAACTAGGAAACATAATGTTTCAAATTCATATTTATAATACTCAACTGTTACCATTGTTTCGTGAAAATGTCTCTTTAGTGTTGTTCTTGCAGTTATCGATGGTTGGCAGCTACGTATTTGCGCCGTTAGCTTACATTCCGTTATGAATATTATGTTATAAACATGATTTATGCTAGTAATAAGCGCCCTTTTTCGTAGAAAATTGGAACCTAAACCTTTTCCATATTGTGCTATTTCCAAAACTTCAAATTCTTCTTATAAAATATTTGATTTAATTGGCCAACCAACCAAACCTTATCATTTTTATTTAATATAGTCTACATAAAAGATATCGATAAGAACGCCTACACTGGTCTCCATCACCAGCCACCTTAATTTTCCGCAGTGTAAGCTTCGTGTGTCATTGTCTTACAACACTTCTGCATAATTATTGCCACTATGTTTATTGTGGGGGTAAGATACTCATAACTTCTCTAAACGCTTCCACGAGGAAGGCTTCGCCTAATTGCGGGTATCCAATTTATTTCACAAGCCATTCCAATATTTTTAATCTTCAGAAATTAGAAGCTTCTCTATTCTATAACTACTTAAATATTTTTCCAGATTGAGCAATTTGGTCACATTAAAACTTAAATAATCTCATTCGATTGTTATTGTACAATAACTAAATGGTATAAAATAGATTCTTATAAGTAAAATAAAAGAATCCAACAATTTATTAAGATTCTATCGAGGGTTAATTAAGAATAGAAATAATACCTCGTCCTGTCGTTTATAAATCCCAAACTCCCCATCCTGCTCGATTGGGCAATCATAATATGTTCGGTTGAGTAAAGAAGAACCAATTAGGTACTTGCTTATAAGTATAAAAGATTAGTGAAACGGGTACAGACCTGTCTGTTTAGGTGGATCTGGAAATAAAATATAATTGTTTACTTTTCACAACCATTTCCATAATAATGTAGTTGGTAAGCTATAGTTTGCTAGACGACGATGCTCGTGATCAAACCATTTACAATCCTTAAATGACGAAGATGGTTGGCGTACCCAACACGAGTGTCATTAATGCAAATGTTGCGAATATTTTAAGCAACTTTCCATTGCATTGCTTTCGTATTGAATATTATAAATTAACAGATCAGGGCTAATTTGCAAATTAACCAGCTTTCACTGTTATGAAATTAAATTTTAATGACGTTAATGTTGTCGAAGCGAACCCTGTTTATATCTTACTGGTGTACTGTATTGTATAGCCTATGAGTAAAAGCTCCTGCGGCAATACTACGGTAAGGTATTACCAGACATATTTCTGTGCCCGTTTCATAATATTATTTTCTATTGAGGTACACTTCTTCACTATGTGTCCATTTTACCTCAAAAATGTTTTTATATCACGTTTCTTACAGATATCAACTATACGGCTTAACACTGCTGTGTTAGAGGAAATAAACAGATGGGCTATAAAATTAATTATAATAATGAATGTCTCCACTAAATTTCTCGGCATCCAACTTATTATAATGGTAAATTATATGCATTTCTTAGAGACGACGTGTTCCTATTAAATCCATCTTAATATATGTTTTTAATTTTTAACGCCTGTTTATGATATGTGCGTAACCTTGTTACAATTTAACAAGGCGCATTTTTATCTACTATTCGTCTTTTATATTAGACACTGCACAACATTTTTATTTATGTCCAACATAATGTAATAAATAAACTTGACATTTAAAACATTATCCAAAATTGCGCCTGCGCAGGATCTTAAAAAAATATAGTTCTTTGCTCTTCTCGATGAAAACAGTTGTAGGTATATTTGGTCCAGAGAATAAATTATGCAATAAAACAGCACGAATCGTAACAATGTTCAATTTATTACAAAAATAAGCATTACTAAAATTAAAAAAAAGCTTTCTTATCCTATTTAACACAAGTATCACAAAATAAATCGCGATTTCTTATTTGTACTTCAGGTGACGATAAATTGAATGTACAACAAAGAATATATTACATATGTACAGATATACATGAAGCACCTACATTAACTTAAGGCACATAACGTACAAATCAAATAGTTGAAATGGAAAGTTTGTAACAAACCACAGTATGTTATTTTTGACAAATAAGTCAAGATTTCCTGTTGTGCATAAATTATAATCTATTTATTAATTTAAACACTAGTAAGTAGCTTTAATATTAATGTTCTTTACTTCAGTTGACCTAAGCTTATCTCACCCTCACTTTTACTATACTTATTCGACATTGAACGATGGACACTAATTTCGCCTTCACTCCGCATTGGTGCATTGCTTAAGTTGTTTGAGCTCTTAGACCCTGACGAGCTCGGCTCAGATATCGATGGAATTTTGTGCCTTCTCAGCCGCCGTCGAAACTGCCTTTTGATTTCGCCGAAACTTATATCCGACGATGTGTAATCCTCTACAGAACTGGAGCTACTGACTTGTGATCGCACTTTTTTGTTCACCAAAGTTCGTTGACAATTGGCAATATCAGAAGAGGATTTAGGTAATCGCAAATTAAAACGAGGCGACGATAGGTTTATTGTTATATCAAATCCGTCATTATCTAAATCATCTGAATTTTCTGACGCAGCTCTTGAACCTAAGTTGTTTCCTTCCGATGGAACAAAAGGACTCGTTTGTCTATGAACCGCCAAGGACAGTGTAAAGGGTGACGTAGTTCTTGTCTTTGTAGCAATCGGTGACGTCGTAACGTTTTTAACGCGGGCCGGGGATGTCTGCGTATTTTTTGGGATCAATGATGTATTTCTACTATCGACGCTAACCTTCGAATTTTTAGAAATTGACGGTTTATTTAAGTTATCAATTAAATCACTGTATTCATCGACAATAAGTTTCTTAATAAAATCTTTTTCTAAGTTAAACATACGCTCTACTTCACGTTTGGGGTCGATACCTAAATCATTGTGAATGTTTAGAATATCATTTTCGATCCTCGGCGATGTTTGAGTTTCTTTTAGACAGATTTTACTGGCAATGTTACTCTGTGTTGCACTTTCTTGTGTATCTACTGTATGTATGAACTCGAATGTATCAATTTGCGTTTTAAATGCTAAATTAGATTGTTTTATGAAAGTGTTACTCTCTTGGGCGAACTTTTTGTTGTTTTTATTGGAGTCGCGTTGAACTGCTATTTGTGGTTTTGATTGTGAAGCGGAAACCATGAATTCAGATAATTCTTCGGAATTGTCAGCCTCAAAATCATCAGCATAGGTATTTTCGTCATTAGGACTATTATTCGATGTATTTTTTTCAGTTGTAGAAAAGTCAACGAGCTCTTTATGATTTTTGAGATTGCTCTCTTTGTTCACAGTTTTTGACGATAATGTTATACTTACTTTTTCTTCAATATCTAATACTTCTTGTAGTAAATTTTCATCTGATATAGTCAAGATTTTTGAATCGCCTTTTTTCTCTTTCGTTTGAGATTTATCATTACTAAAAGAATTTTGGCGACTTAGAATTTTATCTAAAATTGGACTAAGCGAATAATCTTTCTTACTCGATACATGGGGTAGCTCTTTTTCAATATCTTTAACCTTGACACCACCTAATGTCAACTTTGTATACGGGATGTACTCAGTGTTATTTAAAACATTACCGTTTTTATTACATATTTTCGATGTTGGTCTTTCCGACGTTGCAGATTTTGTGTCCACTTTCTTTTTCTCTCTAACAGATTTATTATTTTTTGAAGAGTGTCCATAGACAGAACTTAATTTTTTCTTCCACTCATTTAAACTTTGATGTGCTTTTCTTGTATCCTTCCTTATCGTTCCAGCACAAGGAATTTTTATTTCAGTATTATTTTTTACCACTTTTGGGTTTCTTATCATCTGACGCTGATAGGTTAGGTTTTGTGATGAATCGCTACTTTCATGAGTCGACATTTTAAATACTTTTCGTGTTGTTGATGGGGGAAAGCTTACGTCTACCTTATGTTTATCTTCTTGCGTCATTTTAGACAATTCATGGTTTAAAGCAATTACACAAACATTATTTTTAATTTCAGAACTATCGACTATATCATTATTATCGTGTATTATGTCTAGAAGTAAAACATTTTGTACTTTTAACTCCCCCCTGATGTTAATTTTAGGCATTTCTTGTATTTGTAGCGATTTGCTAGAATATACTTGGTCTACATGGCTATATGTAGGATTATGTACGATTTCACTATACTGTACAGCTGTTTCTCTGTTATATACATTATTACTGATGAAATTACTTTTAGTATCCAAAGTATATTCAGGTATATGAACTATTTTAGTACCAGATATTTTTAAAATTTTTGATGGTTTTTTGCTATTAGTGATAGGCTTAACGACATTTTTATTTTCTCGTATTTTACTAGCTATTAATTCTTGTACTAAATCAGTGCTCTTAAGTGACGTAGTGTTCGAAGGGTCAACTATTTTTTGACCAAAAAACTTGGCGTTAACAATTTCTTCAATATGTAATTTTTCGTTAAACTCTTCGTCTAATGGTGTAGGAAGTGATTTTACTTGTACCCCGGTTTCGTGATATTTCGACAACTCTCCAGACAGAACTTTCAGGTCATCTGCAGTTGATTGCAGCATTTCATGCAATTTCCTCAACATACATTCATCTTCGGGCCTTAGAGCTGGTTCAGGATTCCATAAATCATCATCTATTATCTTAACAGTATCCATCGTTTTGCTGCTTTCAACCTGTAATAAAATATTTTAAAAAGTCATTTAAAGTTTAGTATTGATATAACCTTTTTTTCATGGTGTGAATGCCTAATGTACGCCACGTCAGGCAATAGTGACGTGGGGTAGTGTGGTGAATAGTACTACCACCTCCTCTGTACAATAGCCAACGAGAACCACTGAACACACCGCGGAGTATTAGATATAACCTATTAAATGTATTATGAAATAAAAGAGAATCTTACCAAATATCGATCGACTGGGTAACGAGGGGATACTCGTCTCATCTGTTGGTTAGGCACAGGGGCTCTGGCATTCTCTCCGTTGCTCCCACCCGATCTTAAAAAAGAAAAAAAACCTTTCAAACAGAAATCATTAAAATGTAAAGTAATTTTATAATACATACGAAAATATGTATATTTTAGTACGTCATACACATTAGTGATTTTTCTATGAATGCACTAAAACTTGTGATTCACTATAAAATTGATATACGTTCATAAAGGTATTATATTCCATGTAGTGTTTTGAACTGTTCGTTTTCTGCGAAAGGATGTTCAAATAAAAGGACAAGGCTATAAAATCACATCAATTGTATTTCACCAACATTTACATTAATTAACGTCTTAATCGAAGCAATTCATTTGCTGCAGTAAGAAAGGAGTCTCAAATAAAATCCTTCTTAAGAGTCTACCGATAGGCGGACTAAAACTGTTTGCATTTGAAAATTAACAATTGTAAAAACAGTACAAACGATACATAAAATTGATTATTTTAATATAAAATTATGTTTTTAAATTTGCCGGTCACAAGGGCGCCTTGTACTCTGAACGATAGTAATTGTAATGTAAGATGTACACGTACAGTACAAAAACAAAAAGTATTCGCACGTTTTCTGCAACGCTTTTGGCACTAATAAATAAACAAAGTTTTAAAAGTCAGTGTGTTAGGTGTATGCACATTTTAATTCATTTTAAAAAGAAGTAAAAATATATCGAAAGTATTTGTTAACGTAGAATCGAATAAAAGGTAATTTTCGAATCCATCGGAGAATATTAGACAGTTAATTCATTAGTGACACAATAAAGAAAACGATAACGTCCGTACGCAATTCTCAATGTGACGTAACATTTCATGTACACAAGTTAAAAATATTCCGAATAAAACATAGTCTTTTGTAAGATAATGTGATTTATATAAATAACTACTACAAGACTCACAGTACTAAGTAATACTGACTGGATAGCCTTGAATAAACTAGCGGCTAGAACCCATTAAATCATTATGTACAAGTTAATTATATACAAAGTACCATAGACATATGTACAGGGATATCTAAAATAAATAATGGACTTGTCAATTTAATTGAACGTAGCGAACAGATAAGGCCATGTCACGTCTAACGGATATGACACTTGATAACCGCAACGATATAATGTTTATAAACGATAATTGTACTTGTGACTGCCCTAAATCAAACGCGACCAATGTCCCGAAACCCCACAGACGTGGCTGGGATCAAGAAGTCGCAAAACATATTCTCCGCGAATACAGTGTTTATACTACTGCGAAACAGACCTCCAGGGCCAATCTGTCAGACAGATATTTGGAAACGGAGATATTCTAAGAAGCCAAAGCAAAAATAAGGCAAACGGCCGCCATCTGAAAGCCCTCGAAATTGACACACTAACTGTAATAATATTATGACATACAATGATAATAATATAATGATAATTACTTCACTTTATACAAATAGCAGCGAGTTTTAAGAGTTCCTATAACGGCCGCGTGATCGCGGATCTGTTTGACATTTCACAAAATGACTAGGTGCGCCCCGACTCGTGCGCATGTCTCGCTAATACTGCAGCCGACCAAACCTCACTTAACCTTACGAAATAATCAACCATTACTGTTCTGCAGAGCAGAATTTCCATCCAATTTCGGTTTAATTTCCAATCCTAAAATAATGATACCATCTACGGAAACACAACACGAATCATGTCCAGACTTCAGGCCAAATGTCGTCCAATAGAACATTAACGGAACTCGAGCCACTCAAAAATAGCTTGGAACAGAAGAGAACGTCTAACAAATATATGCGCCATATGCAATTTACATATTTTAAGATACGATACTAATCTGTACATAGAGTTGATACGCTTTCAATATTTCAAACTACATTTTACAGCCAGTAACTACATAAAATGTCATGATCGTTATTTTATATTATCGTAGTATAACAATAGTATAATACTCGTAAAGTATTCAAGAATCACATAAATAAATGCCAAGTTCACTATGCTTTAGGACCTAAAGGTAACTAAGAAAATGGCATCCGGAGAGTTCTCGACCGGCACCATAAGAATGGGTTCGACAATAAGCACTCCAGATAAAAACTATTGGTTATGAACTTTTTACACTGTTCTGAGGCTGAATCGTAAAATTATTCAAAACGGGATATGTACTATATTCAGAATATTGCATAGCTCAGATAAAAATATGAAACATCCGAGATCTTTAATCATTTTATTTCTGCGAATTCATTACGCTGAATACAATCCATAACACTCCAGCTTCTTGAATCTCGGAAAGCCCGGTCCGTGAACGGTTCACTCGTCGGTGGACCATCTTAATAAAAACCTATTTACAATAATTCTATATACAAGTGATCTAGTACATCTGATCGCGCTGGGCCTCTGACCCCGTGCCGCAAGAAAGTCGCGCAGAGCGCTTGTCGTCGGCGAAGTTACCGCACGACACTCCTCTCCTGATCAGTTCACAGCGAGAGGGACAAGAGATAAAGTCTACGTGGTGGCATGATGCCCTAGGTTTCCCTTTCCTTCTTAGGCTTGAATTCCTCTCCTAAGATTGTTGCGATTTCACCCTGCATGAAAGCCCACGGAACCGTCGAATTAGCCAAGGGGCACTTTTCACCACTTGGACAGTAAACCTGAAAATAAAAATATCGTTAGTATCGCAATCGATTTAAATGTTCATTTTACTAGTAAAAATTAAACAGCTTGACTGATCATAAATATGCTAGGTAAATTAACTAACCTCAGATCCTTGCTGTCGCTTGATAGAATCCCGAGAGCACGGGAAGCAGAATTTGTGGTGCTGTTGACTCGGGCACTGCACGAAATGCGTGTCTTCCAGGCGTTCTTGGCACAGTGTGCATTTCAGTAATGGTGCTGGCGCTGGAGCGGTCGCATCGGTACCCTCGCCGGCTTCAGTCGAGGACACTGATGTCGTTGAGGACACATGTCGCGAGCCCGACGACCGCCGCCCGCCGTTCGACCCTGTCGGACCGGATAAATCAGTTTAGCTACTGTCTGCTTAGAGCAAATCAATTTAAGGTACAGATAAATCAAACGGATGCAGACTGCAGTTTGTAGCTGCTGATAGTTATAGGCACGAGCGGTCATCGGGCGCCACGCCGAATTGCGGCATACGCGTCGATCGGACGCCCGCCCGAGTCCGACCCATATAACGGTCAATGAGATTTGTATTCACAATTTAAAAGATTACGATGGAACGTAGAGTGATTTATCTGAACGCTCATTTTTTATTTGGCGATTTACCTGAAGAATTAGGTGAATGTTGACTTGACCGGCTAGCAGATCGTTGTGGAGGCGGTTGTGGTGGAGATCCGCCAGTGGATCGTGGAGATCCAGGAGGTAAAGTATCAGTTACAGACATGAGTGCGGCCATCGGGGAGGGACCAGCGCCTGCACCAGTAACTGGAGGAGAACCTGCGGTACGGCCGAGTGGGGATCCGGCAGACCCATTCGTGAGAGGAGCTGTGTTTCCATAACCTAAAATTAAATCATCAAGCATTATATTCAGCCTTCAAAGAAACGTGATATTATATGACAAAATGGCACCAGAAATGTGTAAAGTGTTATAAGAGTCAAGAGTTACTGATAACCAACATTTTAAAAACCGTGTTTACAGGAAATAACTTGTCTTTGTCATAATGTCTCGGAGAATTAAACGACTAATTTAAGTCACCCAAAGAAGTACGCACTCAATATAGGATGACACATCGTTTGCGGTTCGCCGACGATAGTAAACATTCACACACGCACATAATAATATATAAATAGCGTTGTGTTAATATGTGCTTACGTAGCGGCACGGTGTGTCACCGCCTGTATTTCACAACGTAGTCGTACTTTGCCGCCAATTCAGAGCTACACTTCAGAAATCATCTGCTAATTATCTTATATCATGTAAATTAATTTACATATGTATATACAATAAAATATATGTACGTTATTTTTTTTTTTACAAAAGTAAGCAAAATTTGATTTTGTACCTGCCAACAAGTAGTGATTACTTACTATATATTAGGCTTAACATTAAAAGCTAAGTTTGAGACGATTAAACCAAAGAAAGGGTAATTGAGGCACGGCCCATATGGCGGTCGTGACGTCACGCACAGTGACCTTTTTGGCCGTCGGCTTGTGGCGCGCCGCTCTCCCTACACACACGCTAGCGGAATGTGGTCGAACAACTCTGCCAAGCGTAGGTAGGCGCTATATTTTTTCGCTCGACGGCCTACCTACATACGTACGCGAGCGAAAATGTCGTCACGCGATGTTGCCGCTCCGCACGTATCGTGCTTGCATTCACGGCGCGAGCGCGTTTACATTACGTGGGTGTTTGTATGTAATTTTGTAGTGTGCGAGAGGCCACGAGTGCTCGCTTTCGAGAACGCTCAACCAGTCGAACCAGTTTTGTATTTATGGAGTGAGTTAATGCACCTACCTAGATAAAATGAATCCCGCAGTGAATGTTTGCGCAAAACATTAACGTTTTTTTCATATTCGTTATTTTAAAGCGAGATTACTTTTCAAGATGCATTTGACAAAAACATATAATTCAAGTATTACATCACGCACTTGTTTTAAATAGATTCGAACACGAAGTAATCGTATAATGACGATGAACTTTGATTTGTTGCTAAACCTAATTACTCTTCGATAAACAGCTTTGATAAGAATACAACATTTCATTTAAGGTGTGTTTAGCAAGCTTTCTCTCTACATTCTGACATACCATATAGGCCTGTTCATAAACCAAAACATATTATTGCCTTTACATAGCAGATATTTAGTTATAAATCTGCATTTAATTTACCATCACGAACTTTTTGTATTTCCATGCGATAATGCATATTACGATTTTTGAAAACATCATAAAAATATACTTATCAACATTCCTTATGCCATTTTCGCCAGAAAATAAAATAAAAATGATGTTTAATAAAAACTTACCATTTGTTTTAAAAGCCGTGTCAAATGAAGGAGTACGTAAAGGGTGTTTTTCTTGTTTGAATACACGATCGGGTGCAAATGGGGCTGCAAGTGACACAGCTGGCAAAGATTCACCGCGAGTTAGCGGCGGTCGTGCATGCTCTTCTAAAAGTCGTTTTGCCGGCTCGTGATGGTTTTGATGATCATCATCATCTAAAGGTCGCTTAAGTGTAAGACCTGGAGCAAGACGAGCTCCACCGTGCGCTGGCAAATGTGCTAAAGGTAAATGAGCAAGGCGCCTTCCTTCGTGTTCCTCCCTTCGGCCACCATACTCTGCCAATAATCCCGCATTAGCTGTTGGGCGAGAATGGTGTAACGCAAATCCAGCTGTTGGAGCATGATGTGCTGGAGGAGCTGGTTGACCTCTACCGGCTGATTCACCGCCATTTTGATGGGCTTCTAAAGGTGCTCGATGTCCTCCCTTAGCATGTGTTGGGCCCCGACCTTCTTGAAAACCATGTGCACGCTTAAGCGTGCGCGCTGTGTCAAGAACCACTTCTATTCTATCAGCACCTTCATAATTTACACATCCACGACATACTGGTTCTGAAAACTCGTGCAGCATCGCCCAAGGCATACGGGGCAAATCGCACAAATAGCAGTGCTGTCGCTTCTGCATCACTGACATCTTGATGTCAGGCTTGTAAACGTTTACGGCAATATTTGCTAAATACAAAATTTATCACTTATTTATTTATTAGATAGAGAAACACTGTCACCATGGTATATACGGAGCACTAGTATCACATGTAACGCAGTTACGGCAGCGTTTAGAAACAATCGCTGCGGTCGCAGGTTGACGAGAGACTGAGCTGGTTTCCTTAGCCAAGGGGCAGCGGGGTTCGGGCGGTGGCAGCCATTATCGACCGGTGACGTCAGCGCGCGCACCACGACGCGCCGAGGACGAGCCGTTAGCCCGACGCGGATGCGCCCCCCGCGCTCATACCCTTGTATCACCAATGCTTATCGTGCGATAATAAACGCGGTACAACTATCGGACTACAGTAAACAGATCCTATAAAATATGCAAACTATCATAGCAGTTTGAACAAATTAAGCTCAAAACCGTATCAATACCGTAATCGTAGTAGCAAATCACAGTATCGCATTATGTAAATGAGACTCTAAATATCGACAAAGAAAATACTGTTATAACTTATCTCCTAATTGGAGGATAAAAGATAAAATGTGTTTAGCTTTTTTAAATAGAAGTAAAAATATTAACTTTTACGCATATATTATTTCTTTCTGTATTTATGCTAAATACAGAAAGAAATAAGACCGCGTATTTGGTCAATAACATAACGTAACAGTGCAGAACCATCAACCAAGTGAATCATTCTCAACGGACTGCCGTCAACTCATTGTACATACGAGCTATAGATTCCTAACAGAACTCATATTATTCAACGAAAGTAAACAGCTGCCACTCTAGAATAACAATTAACGCTAACACGTATAACCGACGTGCCCGATGCATTAAATTTCAATCTATTCTCACTCGGTTTCCTTTCGGACGGCTGCATTCTAAATTATTATTATTATCGAGTAACGCGGACGGATCCGGCTGGAGGACGGGAGTGGGGAACGCAACCGGTACGGCGGCCATCTTGAGACGTGACGTCACGTGACGAGTGAACCCAACTTACGACGCGGCTCGGCAACGCCGCTCGCGCTTAACCTCCATTTTCCTCTTATTTTGTTTTATTTTAATAATAATCCAGGCTAACGTTGAGCCTTTGTATTCTGAATGTTGAAAACAGTTATCCGAGCAGGTAAAGGGTACGCTTTAAAACAAATACGTAACAACAACACTTCGTAAAATATTATTATAGATTAGATAATATAGACAAATACACACTGAAGGCAGTAGCTTCACAAAGCTGACTTTGTAAATGGGATAGTTACATAATATAGAGACATACTTATACGATCAACGCAATACAGAAACGTTCGTTTATTGTCAGTAACACTAACATCAGACATACAGATATTTCTTAAGTTATGTTTAACTAAATGAACTTTCTTTTTTATAAAGTTACAGGATTTAAAAAAAGGAAAAAATGGCTTGATGATTGAATACTTATAGGTATACAACATAACGTAAGATACCTAATTGATCATTTTCATGAAGGTTTTTGACTCGCGTGTTGATAACAAGTTTACAGTAATTCCTCGTACAAATCCGATTAGTCCTTTGTTCGTGATGAACTAAAGGGACAGATTAAATTAGCTGATTGCAACTCTATCGAATAAACTCTTTTAGCTCAGTCTGTTTAATTTAATTTTTACTCATTTATGCTGAAACCTGAAACCCTGAAACCCGTAAAAACGGTAGCTTTACGCTTTTAATTTTGTAAGTCTTTATAGTAGATATACAATATTATAGTAGTAGAATAAAAGAAATATAGAAGAAAACCGACCGAGCATAACTTAGGCTTCAAACCAGGGAACACAGGCCAAGGCAGGAGAATTTCCAAGGGTTCGTCAAAAACATCGAAACTGTGGCAAAGGAGAACAAATAATGAATCACATGTTTGTACAGTTTGCAACTAAAAATTATCAAAAAGTCCTAGATTTTTAGAGATGATAGGACGTCAAATTGTTGTATTTACATATTACATTTCTGCAGGACCATTGTCCTATCCCATCCTAGTAACATTAATTAAAAAATCCATTCCGAATAAAGAAGAGCGCATGCGTGGTCCTGGCTGTTGTATGGTATGTGAAGCGAACGTGCCAGATTTGTTTATTTACTATATGCGATGAGGACAATGAATGTGAAGTACTCACTGATCATCGTGTTTATAGTCTGACAGTTTAAAATAACATAGGTCAAGTTGTACTCAACAATTTTAACAAGTGTATTTCGTACTTATATTCTTTTCTATAACCTTTTTTAAAACTACCGTCATTACCTGGCTAACTGCTGTTGTTACTTCTTTTATAAATCCATTCTTAACAGTATAATTCATTATAAAACCTACTACCTCTACTACTATATATTATATTATTATTAGATGACATTTCTATAGGTGTTCACAGAATAATTGTTTCTATTTTCGTGTTTAGATGAGATAATACTTCGTTTTAATAACTGTAAAGTCTTTACAGTTAGTCATAATTATCATTACATATTTGAGCGAGGACCAAAGTTCTGGGCGCAGCACGCAGACAATGCCGTATTGATTTTCCACAAGCGAGCGGTTATTGGAATTTTTGATAGCGCTGTGTTACTATCGACCGTGAACTCAAAAACAATAGCTGCATATTGAATAAGCTACTAAAGTTTTGACGAACTGGGTTGTCTAATCAAGTCAAACATGTTTATAAAATCAATATTTTTTTCTGAACATGTTCAACTTCATCTAGAAAATCTGTAATATCTAGATTCGATAGATCGTCTATAGGAATTATAAAAATACGTCCAGGTCGCAAACTACCAAAAAGTTTTAACCTGTTTGGGTTTTAGTCTGTGGTTTTCCGAATGTCCAAAGTTAAAATAGCGCATCTCTTTTAAATGTTTTGTGATTGGGGTATTTCACCTTTTACCAAGAGTACACCATGCTTGTCTGTTCTTCTCAGTGATAAAAAAATATAGGCTTATAATTATGTGAATATTTATTGTTGTAAATAATAAATGAAAGATTTTTGCAATGAAAAAATATACTAAGATAAGTGATCTACGTGCTAATTTAGTAATTTTATAAAGATAATTTAATGGAATCGAACTTTACCATTATACTTTTATATTTCAATCCTTTAATTGAATGTTGATTGCGCATTTTCTACCCTATGTTTATTCAGAACATAAATGTCTCTTATTATAGATCAAAAGATTTATGTTGTTCCGTAAAGCCGCAAATATTATAAAGGTTTTGTTGAGTCACACAACATAAGCACCGGTAAAATCCATAGCAGAGGAGATCCTGGCTCACGTATAATGTGTCGGGTTCAGATCGATTGCTGACTAACCACTGCGCAAGCGCCCACTCCTATAACACGTGTCACTGTTTATTTACGTTCCTCACTAAGATTTTAACGGCCAGCGTTTTTATAAAGGTTGGGAATTCTATAACAAGTTTTTTGCCTATTTTTAAATTTGTAAATTGTACTCACCATAGTCAAGAAAAGTCGACGTTTTAGCAAAAAAAGAGGATTTATTAAATAGGTATAACTAGGGAAAAAGTGAAGTAATTTAAAAGGTATATTTTAATATATCATGACATAAAATAATTAGATGTATTTTAATGTTAGTACAAAAAAATTATATTTGCATGGGACTATATACACAACAAATATATATTTTTATATATAAACTGCTTCGGACAAAGCGGACTATAGTCATTCATCAGACATATTCATATAATATCTAAAAGGAATCACCCAAATGCACTTCGTATGTGCAAACTACATTTTCTGATATAATGCCAGCATAATACAAATAGCGCGAAACTACAGCAGCAAAGCTTACCCTTGAAATTGGATATAAAACTGGATTAAAACCCCAAAAACATGTTACATCACGAGCGGCACAAGCGCGGGGCGCTATTGATCGGTGACGTCACGCCCCGGGCACACCATTAGAGATTTGAGCATCCATTTTATAGATGTTTATCGTTTTTTGACCTATTTAAATGTCACACAACGTGGTCAATTATTTAATTTGTTACATGGTCAATTTTAGTTTAGTTATTTTTTATATGGATACTGAAGAGTCTACATTTAAATTAGGCGCCGTGGGCATTTTCAGAGGTAAACTTGATGCAGTGAAAACTGTCTTTGTAAAAATAAAGGTTGCTTAGATAACAGGTCATATGACGGACAGTCGTACGATTGGACTGATAGTCTTTTTGGTGACATAGAAAATTTAATTGAAAAGGGATAAAAAGAAGTTTAGCGGACACTTTTTGATAAATGTAACTAAAGTCATACTTCTTCGAAATCGTGCATCTTAAAAAAGTCTGTTTTCGTTTTGGATATTCGGAAACTCATAGATAGAAATCGAAACGATGCTGTTTCATCCGTGGACGGTTATTTGTCAGCCGGACGGATAAATTGATTGATTTTTCTGAGATATGGGACTCGTCGGGGATCGAACCCGCGACCCGTTGATTATTAACCATAATACTAATACAATAATGAGTCCACTTTTACGTTTTACTCATTGTATTCTACAGTATTGAGCAGCGTGTTCATACAATGCACGCGATCTAGTCACGTATTTTACACCGTTCCAATCATAATTTAATATAAGTCGCTAATAATTACTATTTCACGCTAGGTATTAGAGTTTAAAACATTTAATTGAAATTAAACTGTTACGTAACTATTTTTTTGGAATAAAAGATGATAAATCAAACATCATGCATGATGTATACAATTTTCATTCAGATTAATATAAGAAATTATAATGCGTTATTTAAATAAAACTCTTTAACTGTTTAAAACGCGGTATATATAGTTAAACTTATTTCAAAATTATTTGAATTACTATAACTTGTATATATATAACGCGTTTTAAACCGATAAAGCAGTTTATTTAAATGTGTGCTACTCGCATAAACTACAGACAATATATTTTAATAATGCATTATTAATTAGTAAATTTTAAGATTTTGCTGCAAA